TGCTCTCTCTCTCTCTCTCTCTCTCTCATTAATTTTTTGGCTTATTTTAAAACAAAATAAAATAATTAATTGTTATAACTGTAATTATATTTTTAAATTTAGAGCCAATATTCACAAACGTGGTGGGAATCGAGTCAATACAGCCCATAAGCCCCGGGAAGTTTGTTATAAGCAATCCTAACATAACAACTGGTGGCGAATATGTCTGTGCCGTTGATTATGAAATAAATGGCAAAAATGGTCACAAAGAGACCAAAATGCCGATAACTATCACTCATAACCTAACCATTAAGACCTCGCAGAAGAGTAGCAAACATAATAAGTCAACTGTTAGTCCGGTTAACACATTGATTACAGGCAATCCCACCACCACTACAGATTCAGGTACTAACCAAGACACTATTTCGCTCAATCCCAGCCCTATAGAACCTGGTGTTAGCACCATGCCAAATATGCATAATTTACTACAATCAACACAAACACATTTACCATCTTTACCAATTCACACCGATTCTAACCTTAATGGACTTGAAATCAACGAGACCAACGATAGGCCCATCAGAATCACTGACACAATAATTGAGTCAATAGAAACCATCACCGATTCTGTGCCATTATTACCCCAATCAACACTTGTGTTCAATGAATCCATAAACAATAGCACAGAATTCACGCCTAACCCCTCATTTGAATCAAATATACCCACAATAACCATACAAAATATGACAACACAAATGCCCTCACATTCCATACAAACCACACTAAAAATAATTAAAATTATTGGAAAACCCACACAAATTACAATGAAATCTACACAACAAAAGGCAAGTGGTATTAAAAGTACCAAAATGAAAGTTACCTTGACAACATTACCGGCAACAAGTTTATTACATAGTTTAGTAACTGATAAACCAAACACAACAGTTAAAAGTGTGGTCACAACACAAAGTACTACAACAGAAAGCAGTGTCCAAACAATTACTGATATATTAGATAAAGATCTGGATATAAATTTTGATAAAGGTTTATCATCTTCAATGTTTTCAATCGTCATGTATTTAACTTAATTATAACACTATTTTGTCAATTTATAATTACAGTTAACGTTAGTTTTGCATTCAATACAAACAAAGTGTGTGAAGGTAGTGATGCATACTTAACATGCTCATTTGATACGTCCGTTAAATCGCTTCAATTTAGTGAATTTAACATTTATAAAGGCGAGCACCTATTTTTGCGCCAGGTCAATGAAACATTTTGTAAGTTGCCATCACAGTTCAAATAAAATTAAAAACTAATTAAAATTACCTTGGTCATAGATGAACGCAATTATGTAAAAGGCTTAGAAAAAGTGGAGAACATATACAAGTCTAGTAATCATTTGGTTTATGTGAGAATCGCCAATGTAAAACACGATACGTACGGTGACTATTCGTGCAAGGCCACTTACATGGCCAATAATTACGGAGAGCGCCAATTCAGTGTGATAGCTCATTCATATTTGGAGCTATCGAGTTTTGCATCCCATTTATTTCCCTCATATATTATTTCATTAACGATTGCATTGAGAATTATTCTGTAATTTTGATTTATAAATCTTTAATTATAATTTTAATATTATATTTACCATTAAGTTTAATGTTCCCAAAACTCTTTCATAAACATTTTTTATATTAATTTATATGTAATAAAATATTACAATTCACAAAATCAGTTTAACTAATTATGATGATGTTTATTCATTACATTTTTTAAACATGATTAATACTAAAAGATACTATTAATTTAACAACATTGATTGTGCTAAATATGTTAATATATGAATTAAGAAACACTGACATTAAAGAACTTGATAAATATTTATAGACTAAATCTAGAATTGCAATGAAAATACATTATTTCACGTACGTATAACAATATTGTTACATTACTACAGTAATTTGTACTCCAACTATTTTATTTATTGTTGTAAATTCATCGGTACATTAAGTGCTGTATTTCTATCATATTTACATCTCTCTCTCTCCGTAATTATTGGCCATGTAAGTGGCCTTGCACGAATAGTCACCGTACG